TTAGATTGATTGAATGGACACCTAGTAATGCAAATGCTTTAGGTATACTTTTAAAATCATTTGGGTGGTTAAACCATTTGTATAGTTAAATCATTTGAAATGGTTAAAACTGCTCAAACCGATATAAACCAACAAACCATTTGACCAGACAATTTAATACTTGGCATAAAGTCTTCAAAAATTTGTTTGCCACAAGGTTCAAACTTCCAACCTTAAGGCTCTGACTCCAATTCTTTGCCATTAAGAACAATGAGATCCTTGTGTCATTAGGTGCCTGAAATTTTATTTATATCATAAAAATCTTAAAGATTTTAATCAAACTATTGATGGTAACCTTGAGAATCGAACTCTCATCCTCCATGTCACACAATAAAGATTCTTCCACTTGATACATAACTTTTTGTTGGCAACTATAATATACTTATTCTATTTTTAAAAATACTATTGTATTAAAATTTGTTTGAACCTATGATCTCTTTAAAGAAAAATTAGTTTCCTACCACTACAACCAGTTGACACCCCATGAAACATTTTGCAAAATAATATATTTATAGTATTTTGATTAACCTAATGGTCTTAATGGTTAAACCAATTAAACCATTGAAATCGAGACCAAAGGTCAAAATGATTTGACCTCCAGTTCAGTTTTAAAAACATTGTATATTCCCTTAACTAAAGGTGAAGTAGCATCCAAGGTTGATCCAACCTATATGAAGTGGTGGAATGAAGAAGTTTTTCCTTCAATTTTTGCAATGAGCATCCACTTCTAGAAGGCTAGTGAGACTAGAAATTTCATTCCATCCCTCATGAAGAGTATCGTGATTAGACCTCAAGGAAAAGGGAAACAGCTTCAAGCACTACTATCTTCATAGAAGTGAAACAATGCTAGTGTCCTTAATCCATATTTAAAGAAGTAAAAATGCAATAAAAGTTCCCAAAGAGCACTTGACTCTTTCCAATAGTCACTTGTAGCCCCAAACCACCAATCAAGCTATATATGAGGGTAAACACATTTTCACACCTTTTAAGATCTCTTTCTTCTTCTTTTTTTTTTTTTAACCTTAATTTGTTTATTAATAAAATTGCTCTTCTTAAAAAAAAATATTTGGCTACCCATAACTGAGAGTACTACCTGAAAACATAAAAATAATTAATGCTTTAGATGATTTTCTTGAGGTGGACACTTTTGAGAAACTTGGACCAGTTTTTACCCAAAATCGATGGACTAGTTCTATCCTTGAATGTTGACACATAAAAGACTACCAAAGAAGGGGAAGTTGACTTTCTAGATAAATGAGTGCTTGTGAAGGAAACCAGTAGACTTAATTCTCTTATCATGACATCATCTACCTCTCAAGCATTAGTGAAGCCCATCCTTCATAAAGCTATAAGTCACTATGCTTAAGAGAAATTTTTGCAAGGCTTACAAAATGGCTTTTCTAGTCTTGGAAAGTGGTGGGTAAAGCAATCTTTTGTGATCTTGGATACCTTCCAACTTTATTTTCACATAGATCTGACCCTTGCTCAAGATGATTGATACTTAAATGTCCAAGGTGAATCTTTATTTGGCAAGAGGGGTGGAAATTTCCACTAGCTTGGATGTTGAAGAAATAGACAAATCTCTTGTTACCTTACAAGAGGGGGTATTATCAAGTTAGATTGTTCATGACTCATTCTCAAAGCAAGTCTATGAGTTTACAGAAAAGAAGAAATGCTTAGAAAGTAGGATTGAGAGCTTGAAAAATAAGCCGAAATCACTTGAGTAGTGACATAGTGACGTGACTTCCACACTTGATTTGTTGCTTGATAAGAGACAACTAGTAGAATAACAACTTTAATCAAATAAGGCAAAATTGGCACAACTGGAAAACTTTATAGTTGTAACTATTAAGACAGTTGCAAAAGCAAAGAAGATATGACAAGACCTTAAGGTTGAGTTTGGAACCATAACAAATGGCACTTGGATTAAAAACAACATGTGATATTGTTCATCTTATAATTTTTGCTTTTTTTTTTTTTTTTTTAGGTTGAGCATTTCCTTTCCAAGACTTGTTGAATTTTGGTTTTAGCCACTTTGTAAATAAATAAGATGCATTGAAGGATCAAGTCAAATATAGTTTAAAAGATTTTTTTTTCTTTATTTTGTAAAATCAAAATTTCACTTCTTAATGCTTTCAAAAGCATTTTGGCATGCTTCATCCCTTACAAATGGTGCATCTTTCTTCATTAACCTACTAAATGGATGACAATGTCTAACAAGGTTTGAAATAAACATCCAGATGTAAGCTAGCTAGCCTTGAATAGTCAAAGCTCTCGAAGATTGCTTGGGGCTAATATCTTCACAATTGCTTCTATCTTGGATTGATCAATTTCAATACCTCGATACCTCATAATAAACCCAAGAAATTGTTAGAGGAATCACCAAAGGCACATTTTAATGGATTCATTTTTAGTTGATACTTGCAAAGTCTCTTAAACTCAACTTTTAAGTTGTTGAGGGGGTCATCACATCTTTTGGATCTAACAACTAAGTCATCCACATAACATTCAACCAGCTTGGTCTCATGTGTGTGATGATCTAGTAGTCTCCCTAGGCTCCCAATTCTAGGCTATGGTGTTGGCAGTAACATTACAACCTACAGATTTAAAATTAGATTTGTTCATATTCCTACGTAAATTTGAAGAAGCTATTACATTTGGTCTATTGGATTTTTGATTTGCATTAAATGCAATGGTAATGTTACCATTGAGGCCTATACTTGAACTATTTCCAAACTCGAGCCCCCCTTCAATTGTTGGATTTCAACAAGATGTTTCTTAGTAACCTTCATTGATGGTGTGGGTTTTTGTGAAGTCGTTGCCTTTACACCAAAAGCCACAATTTGTGTTCCTCTTAAGCAAGACTAGTACCATTAGAGCCATCCCTCATCTTCTTATCCTTTGCTTGAGATGGAACCTCATTATAAGAAGAGGTACAAGCAAGATTCATTGTTGGCGTTTATGAGATAGGAGTTTTAGGGGGAATTAATGTATATTCCCAGTCAAATCCATTGGTGGTTGAGCATTGATTGTAAGAGAAAAAGTAGGATCCTTATATGTGCAATAGGCATTCCAGTGGCCAATTCTTCCACATGTGAAATAGAAGGCATTAACTACCTTATGCAAGACTTTTTGTTTATGTCTACCAATTCACACATATTTGTTGACCGGTTTTCCTGGTCCACCTGAACACATATTTGTCTATGAAATGGCTCAAAGGAGTTGAAATTAGGTTCTTATCTCCTCATAGTCAAATATGTGGACTGACAAACCATTGACCTCTAAATACAACCTAATGTAAATCTGCTTCTTGAAAACAAACCAAGAAAAAATCAAGACTCAAATCTATGAAATCCCAGTGGCCAGTGGGTTTCCATTGAGCTTTGATCATGGGACACACATAGTTATAACCAAGAGGTTTATAGAAGAAAGCTTGAATAATTAAGACATTAATCCAATGGGTGCAAATTCGTTGTTTCTCTAACTTTAAGAGGAGAACCACAAAGTAGGTTATTTTTTAGGTTCCTCGTCAATATCCGATTTCTCATCCATGTAGTTAGGAATTGTGGAGAATGTCAACACGATAGGATTCTATATAGGTAGTAGTTTATTGTTTTAGAGTTTTAGAGTTTACTCTTTAGGATTGCGAAAAATTAAGATGTCCTAATAATTAAAATGTGAGGACTTCTTATAAAATTATTTAAATACCCTTAATGAATTAATATAATTTCATAAGAAGTCCTAATATTTTAAATATCATAATGTCTTAATTTTTATTTTTCTCTAATCTTTAAATGATTTAATTTTTTACAATACACTAGATCGATATAGAAGATGTGCTCGTAAAATTGTCTAAAAATATATTAATTTTAAGATATGCATGAGTTAGATTAAAAAATAAAAACCCTGGTTGTCAGAGAAAAAAAAAATGCATTCAGGACTTAGAGTGGGATGCACATATATTGTAATACCCCAAAATTTCTGGAATTTTTAACATTAAGTTAAGGACTTTTATGAGAAGAAATATTATGTTGGGGCTTAATAGCAAAATTTGCTAACTTGAGGGACTTAAAGGGTAGAAAATTGAGTAAAGGTGCAAATAAGGATTCCAACTTTGCACTTTTTTCTATTTAAGAATGTTAACTTTGACAGTTTCTAAATAAGGATGTTAACTTCCAATTTTTTT